TCTTATTATTTTTTACTGTTTGGGATGGGATGGGATGGGATGCAGTGCGATGGCATGGCATGGCATGGCATGGCATGGGATGTCATGGATGGCATGCGATGTGATGAGATGGGATGGGATGGGATGACGGGATGGGATATGGGATGGGATGGAATGGCATGGAATGGGATGGATGCATGGATGCATGGATGAATGCATCATTGCATGGATAGATAGATAGTTAGATTTTTTTTGGTATTTTCCTTTCAACCAAGCGGTCATCAACAGAATAACGCCACTGATTTCCCCGGGCAACGCCGGGTATCCCGCTAGTCCATAAATATACAGGTAACGGTTCAAGGATAGAGAACATGGGTCCCAATAAAACCAATGTCATTTTAATTACCTCAATATAAATATAATATTATATCAATATAATAGGTTAGGATTATGGTTAGGGTTATTGTTAGGGTTAGGGTTAGGGTTAGGAGGGTTAGGGTTAGGGTTAGGGTTAGGCACATTGGTTTTATTGGGACCCATCCCATGTTCTCTATCCTTGGGCCCAGGTAACACTAACAGGATACAGAATTAGATTCAAGAATAACCAAATCACAATAAACTAGAATAACTAACATAACATTACCTGAATCAGAAATCGTGAGATCCAAGTTTGGCAACAGATGTGAACCACGACCAAAATGTATGACGCAAATCACATGAAATGCAACCATCCATATCAAACATAAACAAACTCGCCAAGTGACGCTGAGAGGGTCTATGTCCCCCGGGGTACTGCCGGAACGTACCCTGGTACTATCTAATATGCCGGACCGTACCTCGCCTACTCCACTAATGCTCGAGTCTAGGGAGTCGCCTACGCCTACTCCCTAACCCGAACCCTAACCCTAATCCTAACCCTAACCATATCAAATACTGAAATAGTGACCAGGGTACGTTCCGGTATACCGGACCGTACGGTACCCAGAGTACGTTCCGGCAGTACCTTGGATGACATAGACCCAATGAGCCCAAGTGACAGTGTACGGGGTAACCATAGATACAATAATGTAACCCAAACACAGGATAGTGTTTAGGTTACATTATTGAGATGCGGCTAGCGACAGGGCGTCATCCCTATGTTACGCATGCGCGATTAGGGTTAGGGGTTAGGGTTAGGGTTAGGGTTAGGGTTAGGGTTAGGGTTAGGGTTAGGGTAAAATGTAAAATTCATGTTTATC